CTGTTGCGGGTTATGCTCAATCTACCTCAACCTGAAATTGTGAAAAACTAATCTACTCGAGAGTAAGTACTTGAGCAGCTGTCATTGATTGGTCGACGCGGACTTTACAAGTACAGTACTGTGGTTTCCATCGTATTATTGTCATTATTTTGTAATCCTTTGTAAGGAAAAAAAAGACTGAACACACTCATCAGTTCTGCTACGATGAGTACAGTACAGTATAGTCAACAACAAATTTGCAAAAATTGTACTAGACCTGTATTAAAGACAGGATACAGTTTACTGCATATACAGTACAGTACAGGGACAGACATAACAGAATAATAATGAGTATTTACCCACCATCAATAAACCACACATTCTTCTACTCTCTTCCTTTATAAACAGTGTCTCTATACCAAAACAATACAGTATTAACTTTGTACAGAGTAACCACCCCATTCAATGATAGCTCATGTGAAGACAGAGGCAAATTATAACTTAACATCTCATCTAAAAAGTCACAATAAATACTTAGAGAAACAAATTCATTGATACATTACACAATGGTCCAGTAGTATAGAAACACACAAACTCACACTCGAACACATAGCACCAACATGGCTTACATTTATACAGGTCACATAGGTACAAACGATGAACACATTCAGCTACACATGCACACTCAATTGTTTTCCAGTCTTGGTGAAGGAGGCTTTACAACACTGATTCAATAATTATCAGTTATCAGAGAGAATAGAATAAAAGGACACTCATAGTACCGTTATGTCAAAAACTGAAGCCTAGTTGTGGTCATTGTGGGGTGGTGACCTCTCGTGTTTCCCCATATATCGTGAGCAGGGTTTCTCAATTGGGATCCCGACTGGTAAATGATAAATCTCGTGACAAGAGCCGCAAATCCTGGGATTTCCTAGTTTTAACAAAACATTTTACAGGCATTGTGTATAATAGTTTCACATTCACCCACTGGCTTCTGTGTAAAATAATTAGTTGCTATCAGAAAAACTAACAACGTTTCTTTTAATAGCACTGAACATTAGAGGTGGATAAGGTTATCCATTTTCCTCACTGCACTGCACAGGCAGTTCCTGATTTACAAAGATCTAAAGTTACAGAATTTTTTTTTTTGTCCCAAGGTCTGATTTACGTAATCATAATCACGTTAGGATTTTTATTTATTTATTTTTCTTGCAGTATCGCAAGGCTTCCTGTACTGGACCTGGTCAGTTTATAAAGACTACAGCTGCTCCCTGACTTACGACGGGGTTAGGGACCGACATCCAGGTCGTAAGTCGAAATGGTCGTAAGTCGGAAATGCTTAAATAATACATAGAAAATCTAAAATGGGGGGTCTCTTTTTCTTCTCAGCACCACAAAACACTCACTTTTAAGCTTGCCAGCCATTTTAAAGTGAATTACAGATGAAAATTTTGTCTGTGTACTGACTTTGGGACTCGAAAATAAGTAATTTGACCAAAATTTGGCACGATTGAGGCAGGTCGTAAGTCGGGGAGGAGCTGTATTATGTATTCTAAAATAAATACACGTACAGTATATGACAGTACTGTATTCAGTGGTTAATTAAGCTAAAATTAAAATACAAGTAGTGTTTGAGTTATCAAACCATTTTGACTATAAGAACACTGATGTGTTTAGTATCTGAAGAATTTGATCTGGCATCAGAGGAAAGAATAAAACGTTAAATGGATAAGTTTAGGATTTATCCATTAGATAAAACTTTATAGAAAATCAAATCCCGTGAAAGCAAAACATCTCAAAATATAACTGTACACACAGTGAAGTAAACATATTGTTCATCTGCCACTATACAGTACAGTACAGTACTTTTATCACCTGAGCCTCGCAGTCTCACACTTCATCCCAACTTGTGGTGCAGTTTCTCATAAATATAAAGTTATTACTGTACTGTACTGCAAGCATTTCACTATTTATGTTAATCATTATGTCCATAAAACTTGTTTTGTAGCATTTTAAGACTTTTTTGGGAGGGTTTTCTTTTGTAAGAACATATCTCAGCTTTTACAATGAGATTCTCTGGGAAAATGGGATCAGATTTACAAAAGGTTTTCAGTAACAGAACCCTATCGTAAATCTGGGTCTGCCTGAAAAAATTTCCAGTTTAATTAAATTATTTAAAATATGTTTTCCTTCTAACACACACTAAAAAGTTGTACAACACGAATCATGTTTCATTGACTTGAAATGAGAACAACAGTTCCTCTTTTTTTATGCCCTCATAAAGGTTCATTACTACAGATGGGCAAGGGTTGACAGGGATGGATCCAGGAAGATCTGAAGGGGGATCCAAGAAGTTGTGGGTGGTGGATCATGGCGAGCACAGTGAGCCCACCCAGCTGGGGCGGGGGGGAGGGGGGGGGGGTTGAGGGGCTGTAACCCCCCCCCCTCCTCAATTTTTTCTTTAAAATCTGACCAATATTATGGGCATTTTGAAGCCATGTGCACTTGATATCAGGAGATATTCTTAAGTCAATATTAATTACTTTTCACTATACAAAAATGCCTGAGTAAAACACCTGTACTGCATTAAAGAAAAAGTTTTGGAATTTTCTGGTTAAAAGGGGGGGATCTGGACCTCTAGGACCCCCCTCCTGGATCTGCCCTTGGGTGACCTAATTGAAGTGTGTAAATATCTCAGAGGGCACTACTGTACTCAGTCGAGTGTCCATACCTGGAGCTGGCAGACGCCCGCCCCACAAGGGGCCACAGCTCAAGGTTGAGGAAGCCACAAGTCCAGAAAACTGTGAGGGGTAACTTTTTTGGAGTGAGAGTTGTGAACTCTTGGAACAACCTGCCAGAGAGTGTTGTGATGGCACCGAGTGTGAGCTCTTTCAAGACCAGACTTGACCAACAATGGAACAGGTTCAGATACATTCAGGAGCAGGTGCATGCACAGTACTTGCCAACAGTGAGTAACAGAGATATGAGCAACCTCCCAAGCGGTTAATGAGCCGATCAGTGGCGAAGACGATGAAATTAAAAAATATGGCATAAAAAATATATATGTTAAACTTCTTAAAATAATATCTATCAAGTGAACATGTAAGAAGTAACACTGATCTCTTAGTTCATTACACATGCTTTTTTTATAGAGTATTTCACAAAATAGATATTACTGTACTTGAAAATCAAATTAGCCATCAGCCAAGATTTTTCATATAGTATATACAATAATATCTCCATTAGCTGGAATCCCTCAAACCCGGAACTCTCCGATAGCTGGAATTGAAATTTTCTCAGAAAATCGCTCCCAAAGCTGGAATTTTCTGGAAAATTCCAGTTTTGTTAACGATTTTCCGAGGGGCACATTTTCTGGAAAATCCCGATAAAATTTTCCTAATACCAAGAAAATTACGGGGATGGATGAGTTTATATCGGGGTTTGAGTGATGAAAATCAGGCGCATTTTCCTGAAATTCCGAGAAAAATTTTCTGGTACCCTGAAAATTCCAAGGATGAGGGTTATTTTACCGGGTTCGAGAGATGATGTAGTGGACAATTTCTGGAACTTCCGAGAACATTTTACCATTAACCGGAAAATTCCAGGGATGAGGGATTTTTCCCAGCTTTGAGAGAATTCATCTCGTTACCCGGAAATCTCTCTTTCCCGGAAGTGTCCTGCACCAATTTTTCTGGCTAATGGAGATATCACTGTATGTACGTATACAGTGATCCCTCGGTTAACGAAATTTCGGTTAATAAATTACCTTCCATAAAAATCTTCAACTCGATTAACCAACAAAAATTCGGTTAACAAAATCCTTACGAAATCGTGTCAACATGTTTTCGCCTGCTCACCAGCTGAGTATTAGTCTGCCAATACAGTAATCGATTTTAGGGCTTAAATTCGTTACCATTTGAGTAAATATCAAGAAGGTTGTACTATTCAATAATTTTCCAAGTCTTATATTAAAATTTTTAGTAATTTTAACAAATATTTAACATAAATGAAGAACAGGGAACTAGTTTTTAGCGCACCAAATAGCCACTCGACTCACCCAGAATGGTGTCGGTTTGTGTCTCTGCTCAGTGGAGGTAGCATCTTGCTTGAGACTCTCTTGAACATAAACTATTTTTACATTTTTACAGTACAATTATTGGTCATTCTGAAATTTATTTTACACATGGACAATATATAATGCAGTGCAGTGTTGATTTAAAGAAAATAATCTTGAATTACACTAAGTGAACTTAAAATTATATGGGTGAAATGGCGTCATGAGGCATGGGGTGACTTCTACTCCATATATATATATATATATATATATATATATATACAGTGGAGTCTGCATTTACGCGGCTTTTGTTTATGCATTTGGTCATTTACGCGGTGCCTTGCCAGAATGAAATGCTGTAATTACGTGGTAAATTTGGTCATTTACGCAGGTGAAGTATAATTTGTTTACTATATTTACTGAAGATAGTTGTTTTAGCTCATAAAATTCATACAAATTACCCGGCCAGAATATAATTTACATTGCTGGAATTCTTATAAGATTGTGATTATTTTAAATATAAACATCATGGAATTTGCATTAGACATACAAATTTTAGATCTAATGTAAGAATTTTCAATAGAAAGAGCAAAAATTTTATCTTTTGTGCAAAATATATGACATTTATATTCAAAATATTCCTGGTCTTGCAAGGAATCCAGCAATGTCAATTATATTAACCTAACTTTAGTCTGAGGTATTATTTATTACTAAAAATGTAAGCCTACTGTTTTCACCCAAACATTTCCCAGAGAGGGAGGAGCCAGCGAGCGTGGGAAGAAGGGGGGGGGGAGTCGAGTCCATTATTTGAATGGACATTAACCGGGCGACTGTATTTCTCTTAAATATTAATTGTGTGTGCATACCATCATAAAATTAAGATGTTATTTTTACTACAACGTACGTATTGTGTCGGAAAAAGTGGAGTTTGGGGGTCGGCCCAGTCTCTATTCCAATTAATCCCATATGTTATGTTATTTCATTTACGCGTTTCTCATTTTACGCGGGCCTCCATGGGTTCAATTGACCGCGTAAATGCAGACTCCACTGTATATTATACTATACAGGTATATATATATATATACTCGTATCTTCCCACTTTCCCACTAGTATCTCTATGTAAACATTCTTTGTTACTATTATCACTTTTTGTATGAGAAAAGCAACTTTCCTAGAGTAAAATACGTGGAATATGATTTTGCACTTTGTTCCCCCCCAAATAATTATGTACTGTTCAGTGTCTCATTATACCCTTTCCTTTTCAATAAAATTGTTATTCTAAGAACATAGCTGTTATTTCATATTCCCATCGTTACATTTCTCCCGCAAATGTTTTAATTTCATACCTGTGTAGTATAGCTTGGTAACATCGCATACTAAGATTTATCTTTGCTTGTTCATATATACCCTATATGTACATAAATAAACTGGAAAATCCCAGGATCACGAGTTAATGACAGAATTTGTTCCGGAAAACCAAGACAGTGATAATGCCTGGAAAGAAGAAACCCTACTTGTGAGCAATGCATGAGAACAACACTCTGAGTGACAAATACAAACACTATAACTGTACAGTATTGGAATAAAGACTTGCTTTAACAAATGTCACAGAGCATCAATCAACAAGCAATTTAGCACAGTACAGAATACTAACTCTAAACTCTTCACCTTCCTCAGCAAACTATCAATAAATACACAATTATCCAACAAAGAAAGAGAGAGTAAGTGAGAGAGGAGATGCTTCAAAGCTAACTTAATTCTACTAAGCTCATTCCATTTTCTCCTTTGTAAGGTATCCTTCCATAGAAATAAATTACTTGTCCTTAGCACAGTTGGTTGGTCCAAATTAAAATTCTTAAATCAATGAACATAAGATCTGCTTAAAAATATACTGCTCTTACTCCATATTTCAAAAGGAGCAGAATGGACAATTCCATTTTCGAATTAAAAATTCTTTGTCATTACAAGTGCCGACGGTGCTAAGGAAACTATTATAAAAAAATTCTTGACATGTAAAACTGAGATGCCAGGCTACAGTAACACCCAGGTGAATGGAAAATGAAGCCCTTTTTTTGTTTGCAGTAAATAAACATGGAGGAACAATAGACAAAATATAACTAAATTTATAAACCGATTTCTACGACTCAAGCAGAAAACAAAAAACATTGAAGAAGTTTCAAATATTGTACACCTGTAATACGTAAAATTTCCCAATAAACATTTCAAATTAAAGTATCTACAAACTTTCATAAACACATTAAAAAAGTCAACTTACACAAATATTATCAATATGGTGGGAAGTAGAATGCCAGAGACACTAGCCTTTACAAAAGTATAAACAACAAAAAAAGAATAATGATTTATGGCACATCCACTTAAATAAAGCCTTATAAATCATAATTAAATAAAGCTTTACAATCACATTTTTGCCTGGCACAAAACTATTAGTATTATAACAAAGAGATCAATACAGCAGTCTGCATACTACCACTCTCAAAATATGCTAAATACCTACGAAGGATCGACTCTTTTTCACATTAAAATATGGTTTCCTTTTACCCTTTACAATCATCAATCAAAATGGCAGACATTAACAGTATTTGTCTGTTGGGACGATGTTTGTAACCTACAGCAGTGACTCACATCAACAAGGTCAACAACAACATGACCAATTAATAACCTCATTATTCCCAAGCTTTGTATTTTTCATTCATAAAAATATTTTCGTCATTCAGTTTGTCCAAAATGTCTATTAAAATTTCTGGAATATGTAGAAAAAGCTCTTACACAGTAGTACCAACAAGCTTGCTATACAAAATATTAGTCACAGCTCACTTATCCATATTACATGATTTACATGCACTGTACTTGTCTCTATGTGTAAGGCTCTGGGGTCATATGTTGTGACACAAAGAGCAGGAGAGGATAAGGTAATGGATCCTTTCATTATCAAAAAGAACATCCATTGATGAGGCTGCAAATTACTTAGTAAGCTTAGTGCACCTTGGTCACATTAGTCTGCTAGGGATGGAGTATCAGTACTAGATGGGACAGGCATACAAATATATCTTGTGTGACCTACAAAAGGTACTGCAGTAAAAGCTTTGTATGGTTATAGCTGGGACTCTGGATACAATATGTCACACTCTACACATGTCCTGCACCACTTTCTCCACAGTTTTTCATCCCCCCTTTTAAGTCTCTGTACCCTTCATGAAATCCCACACAAGAGTGGGAGAAGAGTCAAAAGGGAGAAGAGTCAAGATATTATATAAATGAACAAGAATGCTTCAATTTCATAAGAACAGTAAAAAAAAAGTACTAAGTAATTCTGATAATGCCAGTCTGTGCTGAGTCAAGCCAGATGATGAATGGATGTAAAAGTTATCTAAACGTGGATGACATTAAACATTATTAAATCAATCCAAGAGGAATAAAGATTGAGTTGATTACTGAATTTTTTGTGGTTTTTGTGAACCTCAGAGCACTTCTTTCAGCTCATTCATTTGGCTACGGAATAAAGTTGACAGACAAGGCTCCAATTTTCAAAGACATATACAGCATATGTTAAATTTCCCCCTAACTGGTGATAAGAGAATGCATCCGACTGACCCACTAAAACTCAGAGATGGAGGCCAAAATGTGTCAGAATTGTACTTCAGACTATACCATAACTTGATGCCTTCTCTTATCTCAGGCAGGAGGTAAAGATTTAATGTATAACCCTTTGAAATCTGGAAGAAAAACTGAAGATGAGACAAGTGAGCTGTGACTGTACAGTACATATATGAAACAACCAATATCCAAACACTTGGTCATAACGAGGTCTTGAACAACAGGGTTTCCTCTCAACTATACATTTATTGGTTGAAGACTACATGTGTGTGTTCAAAATATTAATCTCCACTGAAATAGAATTTAATTTTCCAGTTAGGAATAACAAAGATAACTGCTGAAAAGTTAAGTTGACTGGTTGATAGTCACTAAATCTTGTATACCATATCAGTGATCAGATAAGAAAATTCAACTGTAAAATTATATTTTGAACACCCTACTTTTGAGCAACATAAACTTTCTAACATATCACTAACAAGAGTGCAAACTTTTGAGAATTTATTGTTCACCTGTCGTATCACATTAAATTTTAAGTATTGAGCCATGTCAGAAATATCTAGGAGCCAGTTTTAAAATTTGACGTGATATTATTAAAAGCACTGTATAGCAGCTTCAATATTTTCATACACTAATCTGCTGCCAAATAAATAAGCAGACAGAATAAACATGCTATACAGCTGATAGTACTTACAGTGTATGGCTGGTGAGTCGCAAGCCCTGAGCAAAATTTTTCCGGCAGCAGCGGCCAAATGTGGGGTCAGTTTGGATTTCTAGTGAGCATATCAAAGGCAGCTGCATCACCACACAAGGCAATTTCAGTACAGTATTCATAAAAGGCTCTCAATGTAACATATATTAACTGTCTTATTTTCAATGTTCCTGCTAATTTATTCTTTAGCTGTTGGCCATTTTATTATATCTTCGACATACTTTCCATCCATGGTAATCTTAAAACAATGATTCCATAAAAATAAATAATTACGGTACCTTAAATCAAAGGTTTAGAAGCCACCTTTTACACCGATGCTTTTTCTGTAATCTTTTACAACATGGATAATAATGCTTGGTTTAAAATTTCTATAAATAATGGACAGTATTTGATTTAGTGGTAAAAGATTCAGACATATGACCTTTCAGCAGTCAGTTAAGCATATATCCAAAAACGTATACAATAGCTATCCTTTAAATGCTTTATTGCCACAAAGCTCTGAAGTGAGTTTCACCAACTAACACGATGCACATTTTTATCATCTATGATGATTCTTCTAACTCCAGATCCTCAGTATCGGGAGAAATGGTATACGCACTGACGATCTTCAATCTTGGCTCATCGTCATCATCATCATCACTATCTGTATTGTCATCAAAGAACACTTCTTCACGTATAATTTTCTTTTCTGGCACTTGCGATGTCTTTTCTTCTGCTATGGCAGAGTGACTCTCAGATATTTCTTCTGCAAGGTATCTGCTTACTTCCATATCACTTTTACAGGAAGCATCGTCTTCCTCATCTTCAGTATCGGTAGTCTCCTTGAGACCATTTTTTGTGTCCTTCTGATCAGCTTCAAGTAACCCTGTTATGCTTTTCACAGCATTTTCAAGTTCATCTGGTGTAACTTTTGCATAACCTAAACGACTGTCTGCTTTTCTCTCAATATTGTCAGCTTCTTCTTCTATGGTTTCTGTATCATCAATTTCAAGCTCAGGTTCACTTCCATCAGACTCTTCAAATTCTACAATGTCTAACATTTCTTCCTGACCCTCTGTCAATAGATTTCTTGCTCCATCAGGGGTATCTTTGAAAAATGCTTTGGATTCTGACACAAGATTGTGATTCAGTAAGTGAGTTTCCCTTAAGACTGCAGAGTAAAAGACCGCTCCACACTGTTCACACGGGAATGTATCATTTGATTTGTGAAGCTTTTTGTGGTTTTCCAGGAAGAGCTCGCAAACAAACGCTGCTCCACAGAGAGAACAGATGCAGGAGTATGGATTGGTTATATTTATTGCTCGACGATCTTTTCCCCGTTTGTTCTGGAACCAATGTTTGACTCGTTTTGGTTTGAGACCAAGACGTTTGGCCACAAGCCATGCCTCTGCAGGGCCCGGGAAATTGTTGTGCTCGTAGTGGGTGTGAAGAATCTGTAAATATTTATTGTCAGTACTTTTTTCATCCATAAATAGAACAATTTCTATCATAAAACTTATTCAGAAATAAATGTACATGTACAAATTTTTTTTTAAGAACAGGTACAGATTTATATTAAAAGTACAAGTAGCAGGTGGGGGGGGGGATCATTATACTGTATGTTGTAGAGATATACAAGCAATGGGTTAGATATACACTCAATCAGTTTTATGATGTTAAAAAATTAACACCATTTACTGTTAAGTGATGGCTAAAGATGCTTTTCCTGCATTGTCATCGTTATAAAAAAGTGATGTGCAACAACTTGCAATATTCCGAGATATGACAACACAATCTTGGAATGGCATAACAGCTGCGACCCACGCTGGATGCGTGGGTGGTTCTGCCTGTTCCCAATGACTACCAGGCTAAGTAGTTGAATGTGTCATGTCGCCCAGGGGATGGTTTGCGTGTGGAAGAAGCTATTCTTTGTACATAAAATAATATATCCTGTACCAATAGAAGTGAAGAATAAATAAAAATAATAATAAAAAAAAATACTGCATTGCCATTTAACAAGTTTGTCACCAGCACAAGACAGCAGAGCCACGAGAGAACACCCCCCACTCTCTTTTGTTACCTTTCACACATGTAATAAAATTTAATTCCTTTCTAACCCTATGATATACTGTATACAGTATATATATATATATATATATATATATATATATATATATATATATATATATATATATATATATATATATATATATATATATATATATATATATATATATATATATATATATACACCTGTATATATACAGTCGGCCCTTCACATACGCGGGTTTAGCATTCACGGATTTGCAAATACGCGGATTGCCCCGCCGGAGGAATATTCTGTACATTGAAGTAATTGAAGTACATTCAAATCGCGCACGGCACCGAACACGGGACACCGCCCGCTCCCGCAACCTCACACACACACACACACGCATAGCTCTCCCTCACTCAGTCAGTCTCGCTGTAACCACGCTTGTGTTGACATCAGCACTGTAGTTGCAAAAATATTACATTTCCGTGAATGTATTATATCAAGCAGAGTATGAATAGAATATCACTAATATAAGAGTATTTTAACCGAAAACTACTAAAAAAACGAGTAACATATCTTGAACATCGGAAGGTTAGGTAAAGTCTCTTGTTTTCGTCATGTATTTTATCCTATTTTACATTGAAATACATCACGTTTCAGCAAAACTACTATTTATTTCTGAGAATATATTCATTCAGGCACAGTTTAGGTAAAATATACATGTGCTGTAACATTTTTTTAATTGAAAATGATTCGAAAAACACGTACCCTCTAGCCCTGTTCAAGGAGAAGACTGGGAGGAGCTGTTTGGTGCTTAAGACGATGACAAGGAAAATGATTTTGATGGATTTTAATGAAAATATTCAGAAAGACCCTGGCACTGTCAAGGAAAGTGGCTGCTGAAGGCTTCCGGGACATGGCAGAGGACGAGATTAGGGAGCTAATTGAAGAGCACGACACTGAACTGACCGAGGAGGATCTACAGGAGTTAGTAGACTCAGGCAAGGAAGAGGAAGAGGAAGAGAAAGGGAAAGAGGATGAGGAAGAGGAAGAGCACCAAGAAATAACGCTGGAAAAGTTGGGGGAGATGACCAGGAATATTGAGGCACTGAAAAACCTGGCCTATAGTATGGACCCCTCCATGGTGCGTGCCCTGAAATTCATGCGAGGGATGGATGACGTTTTCGCTCCATACAAAACATCATGGAAGAAATGAATGAAAGAGACGACAACTCCCCATCACCATGTTCTTTGATCACCGAAGGAGAGATTTAACACCAATCACTGGCGGCAGTGAGGAAGCAGCTGAATCCACCGTTGCCCTCACTTCACCACCCGTTATGGAATTGAGTGACTGTACAGTAAAGTGAAGTTTTTATCTCTTTTTTTTTAATAGCTTTTCTTGTCATGTTTATTGTTTGTAAAAATGTACAGCACAGTACAGTTCAGTACTGTACATAGGAAGTGGAGGTGCAGTTATTCACAAAACATTTGTGATTGTTGTCGGCAGTAGTGACGGTGGAGGTGGAGGAGACGGAGGAGGGAGCGAGTTGGGAGGAGTGGTGACCTTGGACAAAAGTACACGGATTTTTAACATTCACGGGTATCTCTGTTATCTAACCCCCGCGTATGTTAAGGGCCGACTGTGTATGTATGTATATGTATGTATATGTATGTATGTATGTATGTATGTATGTATGTATATATATATATATATATATATATATATATATATATATATATATATATATATATATATATATATATATATATATATATATATATATATATATATATATATATATATATATATATATATATATATATATATATATATATATATATATATATATATATATATATATATATATATATATATATTCTCTCCTCCACTTACGATGGGGTTCCGTTCTGACGACCAGGTTGTAAGTCTTTAGTCGTAAGTCGAACCGACGAAAATAATACGTAGTACAGGTAATAATTGTAAAACTTTTACCTTTTTAATACACAAACTGAGCGGGATCAGTGGCGGCTCGTGAAAAATAAAATGGAGGGACTGCAAGCCTCACACCGAGTCCCCACCAAACAATAAGCATGGAATTTCAGAACAGTACAAGCAGGAACAAAGAATATACACGCCAGTTTAACATCAGTGTTTATCAGAAATGTGAATGGCTCTGTGGTTGTGACGAGGCAAATACTTTATTCTGCTTTCCATGCTTATTGTTTGGTGGGGACTCGGCGTGAGGCTTGCAGTCCCTCCATTATATTTTTCACGAGCCGCCACTGAGCGGGATACAACGTGGATGCTGTACACACGCGGCAGCATGCCAGGTGAAGTTGTCGTAAGGTGTCATTAGACATTACGACCAAACATCAAGACTCAAAAATAAAGGCGTGCAATTTGAAAGCAAAACCAGGACAAACCCCATAAAGATGGCTGGGGTTAATACTTTAGAAGATAATAACTAAATAATGTTAAAGCTAAACCAAATGATTTTCTCTAGGCAGAAAGTAAATGGAAACCTGACTGCGAGAAACATCTTACCTTTGTCTGTGTGAGAGAGAGAGGAGCATTGGAAGTCTTTAATAGTTTGGACGCTGAGCTCTGTTCACTCTCATGCTTCACTTCAATCCCATGGCGAATCATGTGTGTCTCAAGAGCAATCACATTACTGTACTGCTTCCCACACACACTACAGACCTGAAGATCAATAACATGGATATTTCAACTCTAACAGGGAATCTGTTCTCCCTCTCATATACTGTAGCTGAAAACTGACTGTGGTGGACAGTCAATAGGTAAATAAATGAATATGATAAAAAACTGATATTGGTTACTGTAGTAAGGTGGCACACCAAAGACTAAAGCAACTGGATAATCTTGAGGGAACACAAGTACACTCAAACCCCTCTAGTTTGACAAGTCTGGGGTTCTACCCTTGTCGAATTAACCAAAGGGTCTGAACTATCCAAAGTATCTGAATTTGGTCGGTAAGTTTATACATTTTGTCAAGATAGTGGGGCTTATTCAGCGACTCAAGTGGGTAATTTGGACAGTACAAAAAACAAACCCAGCTTAGATTTTGTTTTTTTAAATCCCGAGTTTAATTTATTCATTAGTCAACAAAATGCAAATATTGCATTTTCTGATTATCTAATCCTCTGAATTCTGACCCAGTTCAGTGTAGGTAGCGGGCAGCTGATATGCGTCTCAGTGACTGGCACCAAATTTGCCTAATTTACTCTACTTTACATCTGTGGTTACATATAATAAAATGTTGCAAGCTAAAAGTGAAAATAAATTTTTCCACATACAAAGGACGAATGATACTTGGGGAGTTATGTAAAAAAAACAGTGGTATTACTGTATAAGACAGGGATTCATCCACATTACTCGACTGCCACCTACACAAAACATCCCACTAGGGGTATGCTTGATGATTGAGGCGATGTTCTTGGGACCATAAGTTTCAACTTGTCAAACACACGAGTAAATTCAATAACTTCGGTGTTATTTGGATGTTTGAGTCTTAATATAAAAAAATACCGAGTAAAGTAATTCAACATTACTAAAAGTCCAGATTAATGAGAAGTCTGAATGAGTAAAGGGTGAGTTAGAGGGGTTCAAGTGTATCTCACCTGAGCCCAAGAAGATTTATGCATCTCTCGATGACAGTCCAGGTCTGTTTGACTGATGAACGCAGCATTACAAATGAAGCACAGTTTGCTCACCGCCTTCTGGGAGGTGACACCTGCTTCATCTTCCCTTCCCTCAAGCTTATTCTCTTCCAACTTGTGAATGTGCTGGCTTCTTCGCTCCTGAAATATGATGAAGTATTTGTGGTAAGTCCAGTGAAGCTGTCTAGTGAGGCTACAATAAACTGCATAAACTCATAATAAAGAGGCCAAACAACACAAAATGTTCTGAAAAAAAAAGGATACACGTGTCTTACTTTAAACCATAAATGGATGTGAAGTGGGTCGACGTCCAGCCGCCGGGCGATGAAGCCAATGTCCATGGGGTCTGGGAAGTTGTTATCACTGTAGTGAGCCTCTAACACTGTGAAGTTCTTCCAGTGTGGACTCTCTGGTAGTTTGTGACCAACACTTACCTGTAATGTATGACAAGTATTACTGTAAGGTTATAGTTTGAGGGTGTAACTAACAATGGATTAGTCTTAGCTACGACTGTCATTTACCCTTTTCTACAGTATAATTTACCCAGATGCTGTAAGACTTGACCCCACACTAAATATGATGAAACAGGCACACTAGGTCTCAAAACACACTCAAAATAATCTAATTTATCCTAATGATCACTAACACAAATGATTTATAATTCCTACTCTGCTTGAATTCTTAAGAAAGAGTCACTGTCCTAGCTGATTTGTTGGCAACACTTCAATTTCCATTCACCCTTCCATATTTATAAAAAATTATATCTGACATGTAACATGAGAGAACTCCTACAGTTATCATTATTTTATTTAAAAGTATCATATATATTACAAGGACCATTCTTCTTACTAGCAAAAGACCATCAATATGACTACTGATTACACTACACTCTAAGACTTCATACACCCCAGTTTTACCTTATCTTATTGTGAATGGATTAATTTGATTGCCAGAAAGGAAAAAAAAAAGCAAAGTCATGTCAGAGTTTCCTATTACACCTCTCCTCCTTAAATATCTTCACTATGGGATGCCACTTTTAATATTTCAATTGGCTAATGCCATATGTTTTTATTCAGCTCAGAGAGAAACTGTGCATAAAAGATTAATCATCCTAGACACTGGGACAACCCTAAAGAATCTCATTCGTGTCATAATATTCTTTTTATTACAACTCATCCCAAACAATTTGACAACCAAGAAGCTGTTCATCATCTACAAAGCTCACCTCATCTTCATTTTGATCCGTGCCATTATCAACTTCATGCACCAGTCTGTGTGTCACCAGAAGGTCACCGTTGCTGAAGACAGCATCACAGCCAGGGTCCGGGCACAGAAACTCCAACACCGGCTTGTTGGCTCGGTCGTGAACAACCTCCTGGTGGCGTTTCAAGTTTGCATCTGTGACGAAGGAAGCCTTGCAGTTCTGACACTCCACTGGAGGATATTTACCTGAAAATTTATCAAAATAATCATGACCGATAACCCAACATACTGTAAAATTAAAAACCAGTAAAATATTGTTACCCATGATACAGAGCAACAGTATATCCTACAAAAAAATAATGATACCAATATGCTTTCATGATATATTACCTGTACAGCCAGTATTATAAGTATCGACCACCTCAAGGTAGGTGGGATAGAAAATGAGCAATAACCAACCGACACTTGTAACCACGTCTACAGTGTTCGCTCGATGTTTCATATTGTTATGTATGGCAGGGAGATCGATAATTTTATTGGCTGTACTCCTCTCCAAAGGGTTAAAGTACTTAGTAAAAATAACTACTATACATAAAAAAATGCAATGATCACTTCTTATGGTAAAATAATTTTAATAATGTAATTTGCCTGAACAATGAATAAGGATAAATTTAAATTCAAGTGATACACTCACTTTCTTTCTGTTGCTTTCTGTCTTTACTTCGACGATTTTGAAACCAATGCATAATCTGGCGGTAACGTACCCCCAGACGTCTGGCTAGCAAACTCATCCCTGAGGGCATGGGAAAGTTGTTTTCTTCATAGTGGGTAAGTAAGATTGCTTGTTCTTTATCAGTATATTCAATTCTCTGCCTCCCAATACTACATCTACTTAAATTGAAATGTTCCAAGAATGAAACTCGGTCAGGGAAGACTAAATGACACTCAAAGCATCGGATTTCATTCCCAACTTTCTGTTTTCGTTTTCCTCGGAGAGACTTTTTTCGTCTCCACTCGCCTGGTTTTCTCAGAGTTTTTGTGTGAATGCACTTGAGAGGATAATGTTCCTTCAATGCTATCAAGGAGGCAAAACTCTCTTCACATGAGGAGCACTTGTGGCCGTCCTTCTTTACGGGCGACTCACTAGCAGCTTCGGTCTCGTAGTCTTCTTCTGAGGAGTTATCAAGGATACACTCCACGGCCATTATAGGATGGTAATCATCCACATCTTCAGATACATCATCCATGGAGTCCTCCCATGATCTGGCCACCAGTTCTAAGCCATTACTATCAGGAGATCCGTCCTTCCCTTCGTCCTGTGAATCGGAGTCGCTGGTACTTTCGTTATCTCCCTCGTAAGTCTGAGACGTCTCCATCCGATTGGGTGCTATCCGTATGGGAGTACAAGCACCATACTTCTTCTTTTTGTTTTCAGCTGCTTTTGCTTGGGAAGAAAAAGGAAATTTATAATTATATACAGTACATGAGGAACTAAGGAGTATGCATCCCTCCACCACACACAAAAAAAGTATCATGATATACTGTACAGTATTTTATGTACATTGCTACATTTAACCTTTGATGCAGAATCTGGAAATGAAGGATCTTCTGTATTTTGTCCTGTGACGATACAAGTTCAAAAGAAGTCTCTTTAAATTTATGCACTGAACCAAGAGTTATGTTCTGGACAAGGGAAAAGTTGATGGACATTGAGGCATACAAGAACCCCAACCCATAATACGGAAGTCCATTTTCAAAGAACATAAAATCAAAAAGAATTGCAATACAGTACATATGCACCATAAAATTCAGTGGTGAACCTTTATTACACCTCACTGGTAAATTCCCTGATTAACAATACAGTGGTCCCTCGGTTAACGAGCACAATCCGTTCCAGCAGGTTGCTCGTTAACCAAAAAACTCTTTAACCGAAACCATTGTTTCAATGGGTTTTTGGGTAATTGGTTCCAGCTCACCGAAAATTGCCTAAATTCAACAAAAAAGGTAGAAAAGTACACTTACTTTGAGGTGTGTATGTAGAAGGCTCCTGGATGATGATGGGAATTATAATGGGGGTAGAGGAGAAGGGAGAAGAGAAGGCACTGGGGTGGAAGAGAAGTCACCCCATGGTGCTATTTCACCCATAAAATTTTAGTTCTCTTGGTGTAATTCAAGATTATTTTCTTTAAATCAACACTGCACTGCATTATATATTAACAATATGTAAAATAAATTTCAAAATGACCAATAATTTGCTTGGAAACACAGAAAAAAAGCGTTTAGTAAAAGAGAGTCTCAAGCAATATGTTACCTCCACTGAAAAGAGAGAGAGACTAACGCCTGTCTGGTGTGTTAACAGGCTGGATGGCGTGCATAAAACTAGTTTCTTTATCTTCAATTATGTTCAATAATTGTTAAAATGACAAAAAAAATTTAATATTAAACTTTTAAAATTATTGAATAGTATAAACTTCTTGATATTTACTAAAATAGTAAGGAATTTAAGCCCTAAAACCGATTAGTGTATTGGCGGACTAATACTACAGCTGGTGGACCGCCAAATGCAAGCGAAAACATGTTGAGGTCGGCTCGTAAAAAACTCGTTAATCGAGGGATTGCTCGTTAACCGAAGTTAAGAATCTTATGGAAGGTAAATCGTTAACCGAACTCTCGTTAACCAAGGCGCTCGTTAACCGAGGGATCACTGTACAGTAAAATAGATGTAGCTGCAGAATCAAACAGCAAAATTAGCAACTGTTAAATCACAAAAAGAGGCGTGTTCCCTAACTGACAACCGTGGAGAAATATAGCCAGACACAGAATAACAATGAAGAGATGTGGCTGGAGAGATGATGAGCTGGGAGATATGAGAGACTTGTACAGAGAAACAAATATTATGGTGATGAAACAGGTGAAAGTTGGGAGTAATAAGGAAGAAAACACACGATCTATAACTTTGGGGAGAGAATACTTAAGTGGCCACCCACAATAAGAAAGCACAGTGGCCACCAACCCCACAATAACAAAGCACAGTGGCCACCAACCCCACAATAACAAAGCACAGTGGCCACCAACCCCACAATAACAAAGCACAGTGGCCACCAACCCCACAATAACAAAGCACAGTGGCCACCAACCCCAATATCTCAGATCACTTCCCAGTTTTTGCCATGCATAAAACAGCCACAAGACCTGAAAGGTCTAGTAAAGTCTCAATACAATACAGAGACTACTGCACCGACAACATGCTCCTTTTTGAAAGCAACCTAATGAATGCTAACTGGGATCTTGTCTATGCCTTCGACAACCCTAAGTGAACAGCTGCAACTTCTCTTGCATCTTCAATGCTTGCTTTGATAAATGCTTCCCGCTCAAGACTAAGTCAGTGAAAACTGTATCCATTTCCAAATCCTATATCACAAGCGAAATTAAGATAATGAAAAAAGAAAAACACAAACTCCAAAGGAAATTTGCAAAAAATCCCATAACTTTCGGTGATGCTTACTGAAGTATCAGAAATTTAGTAACTCAAGCAGTTAGAAATGCCAGACGTAACTATTATACAAATAAGCCCCAGTCAGCATCAGGCGACAGTAAGAAAACCAGGAATGTCATAAATTATATTCAGAACAGGAACACTCAGCCTTTGGCCCCCAACCTTAGCTTTTATGATAAATGATTCAGTTGTAACGGAACCCTCCCCCATTGCCAACCACTTCAATGAATATTTTATTAATTTTGGCAAAAATCTTGCAGAGAGCATCCCTGATCACCATGAGGAATTTAGAGCCTTCCTGCAAAACAGACAGCAAAATGAACTATTCTTATCCCCTGTCACAGCAGATGAATTACTGGCCATCATAAAAATGTCCAAAGATGCAGCAGCAGGTGAAGACAATATACCAATAAGCATCATTAAGAAAGTAGCCCACTTATTACTACCTGTTCTCCTACACATTTGTAACTCCTCCTTCACTAGTGGTGTCTTTCCGTATAAACTGAAAACTGCTAAAGTTCACCCAGCATATAAAAAATCTGGGGACAAAGGTCTCTTCAAGAATTACCGCCCCATATCAGTCCTCCCAGCCTTGAATAAGATACTGGAAAAGCTAGCATGTAGTAGACTAAATTCCTTCTGCAATGCCAATAACATCTTTACAGACTCCCAGTTTCGATTTAGAGCTAGAAGGTCAACTGAGAGTGCTCTGCTATCCTTTACTAATGACATCTTAAATTCCTTTGATGACAGTCAGTTTACAGTCGGTATATTCTTGGATCTCTCTAAAGCCTTCGATACTGTCGACCATACTATCCTCCTTTCAAAGCTTGAACATTACGGCATTAGGGGCCTGTCCCACAATTGGTTTACCTCATATCAGTCCAACAGGATGCAGTATGTCTGCTATAATAATCACCAATCTGACTCCTTGCCAATCTTGTGTGGTGTCCCCCAAGGTTCCATTCTCGGTCCAGTACTGTTTTTGTTGTACATAAACGACATAGTCCACGCCAGCATACTCATAAAATACAACTTATTTGCAGACAATAGTAATCTCTATGCCAGTAACTCAGACCTCCATTCCTTGATGAGAACTATGAACATTGAATTGACTAAAGTCGGGACCTGGGTAATACGTAATAAACTGACCTTAAACCTTGAGAAAACCCACTAAACGATCTTTCACAGAAGGAAAAACTTACCCCCAGACTTGGACCCCCTGTACCTTGGTAATACAGTCCTGAAACGCGAACAAAATACTAAATTCCTCGGAGTTATTGTTGATGAGAAACTTAACTGGAGAAACCACATACAAGCCATTCACAGTAAAATCAATAAACAGTGAGGTATCATGTATCACACTCGACACTCACTCGCTCTCACAGCAATGAAAGAAATCTATCATGATCTTGCTTAGCAACACCCGATACACTGTCACACACTATGGGGGGCCTCTGGCTCTTCAAAAACACAATCTCTGGTTACTGCACAAAAGAAAGTTGTACGGACAATAACCTACTTGAAAAAAACAGATCGCACAAACAAAAAATTTGCTATACAGTATTGAAAATTATAAAATTCGAAGATATTAACACCTACTGCTGTGCCCTCTTTGTTTACAAATCTATCAATCACTTGCTTCACAATAATTATTTCCAGTTCCGGAATAATCAGAGATACAACTTAAGGCACCCAGAGCAATTAAGACCACCCCCTATGTGCTCCTCTCAGTCCCAGACCTCCATAAAATATCACGGTGTGAGGTGTGGAACAACTTGCCCCCACACATCCGAGCAAAGTCTATGCTCCCTTCCTTTAAATCATCTCGTAAAAAATATTTATTGTCTGAGTATTAATATTTCTTGTAACACCTACTATATTTACAGTACCTGTTTTTATTGTACCATCAAAACCGTTTTATGGGAAATTATCATGTAAATAGATAAGTACTGTAATTACCATTGCAATAAACATAATTGCCAACTAGACATAATCCTGACAGCTCTGTCCTCTTGTTCAACCTTATTACTGTACAGCCCATGTTGTAGTGCACCCCCATTATACTTATGTTCTTCAAATCCACTGTAATTTATGTATATATAAATAAATAAATAAATAAATAAATAAATATTGAAGTGATAACAGTGGTAACATTATGAGATGTTCTTATTACCACCATGCTATTGTGCTATTCCAGATGATACTAAATGTTACATAATACTTCCTTGAGATAAATGTATAGTATATTACAGGTGCCTCAAAGAGAGCTCAGGTTCTCAACTGGCTCAGCCATGTTACTATTGTTATTATTATCCACTCTGTATCTGTGTTTTTCTGGCTAAATAAACTGTTTCAATTTAATTCTGTTTCAATAATAACAGAGCACAGTGGCCACCAACCCCACAATAACAGGGCACAGTGGCCACCAACCCCACAATAACAGGGCACAGTGGCCACCAACCCCACAATAACAGAGCACAGTGGCCACCAACCCCACAATAACAGGGCACAGTGGCCACCAACCCCACAATAACAGGGCACAGTGGCCACCAACCCCACAATAACAGGGCACAGTGGCCACCAACCCCACAATAACAGGCACAGTGGCCACCAACCCCACAATAACAGGGCACAGTGGCCACCAACCCCACAATAACAGGGCACAGTGGCCACCAACCCCCCACAATAACAGGGCACAGTGGCCACCAGCCCCACAATAACAGGGGCACAGTGGCCACCAACCCCACAATAACAGGGCACAGTGGCCACCAACCCCCTAATAACAGGGCACAGTGTACCAACCCCACAATAACAGGGCACAGTGGCCACCAACTAATAACAGGGCACAGTGGCCACCAACCCCACAATAACAGAGCACAGTGGCCACCAACCCCACAATAACAGGGCACAGTGGCCACCAACCCCACAATAACAGGGCACAGTGGCCACCAACCCCACAATAACAGAGCACAGTGGCCACCAACCCCACAATAACAGGGCACAGTGGCCACCAACCCCACAATAACAGGGCACAGTGGCCACCAACCCCACAATAGGGCACAGGGCACATAACAGGGCACAGTGGCCAACCCCACAATAACAGGGCACAGTGGCCACCAACAGGGCACAGTGGCCTAATAACAGGGCACAGTGGCCACCAGTGTACCAACCCCACAATAACAGGGCACAGTGGCCACCAACCCCCAATAACAGGGCACAGTGGCCACCAACCCCACAATAACAGAGCACAGTGGCCACCAACCCCACAATAACAGAGCACAGTGGCCACCAACCCCACAATAACAGGGCACAGTGGCCACCAACCCCACAATAACAGGGCACAGTGGCCACCAACCCCACAATAACAGGGCACAGTGGCCACCAACCCCACAATAACAGGGCACATGATATGAGAAGAATGAAAGGACAATATTCTTTATACTTACACATGTGTCTCATCAGATGGGTATTAAACACCGCTGCATGACTAAAAAACACTCTACATTCACCACAGTGATAACTTGTCTCAATTTTGTGCTTCTCGTAGTGCTCACTGAGGGTCTTTTTGGTGATGTACGAGACATTGCACTTGTGACAGTGGTAAGGTCCATCACCTTCATAATTATCTGAAAGAAAGGAAAAATAGTGGAATTGCATTTATCAAATCTTGTGAATCAATAAAGTAATAATTAATGGCATGCAAACATCCACAAAGACGACAGACTAATAATTTACCACAAATACTTGTGTATAAATCAATCTCATATAGTACAGTGATATAGTTTGACCCCTGATTTTATGAGAAAAAAAAAAGCCTGAGTTTTTCATATACAGTACTGTATCTCTTGTAAAATTTAACTATGTACAGTAAAGCCTCTGATAACAATGGTTCAACTAATGAAGATTCATATCTAAGACCCTGGTTAATTTATGACCCAATTCAATTTATTCCATTATTTTCTTCGTATTTACAACAAAATTATAAAAAATATAAAATTTTTGTATAAAAAATAATCTCGATAAAAAAAAAAAAAAAAAACACGCCTTGCACACACAGGCTGCCGGGCTTGTTAGTGGTGATGCCAGCATCACTAGTATAAACAATCGCAGCTTGGCAGGCCCTTTGTTTTCATGCATCTGAACAGGAAAAGGAGAAAATTTCTCAGGTTTCTTACAGCATTTTTGCATCCCTATTCAATATGAGCAAGAGAGCAAGTGATGGTAGTGTTGTTTCAAAAGCTAATAGAAAATGTCTAAGTTTAGCCGAGAAACTAGATGCAATGAACATATTTTCTGAAGTGGATCCATTAACAGAACAAAACATTAAAATTTAAATAAACGCAAATGACCTCTACATAAAGATGTATAATGAGAAAAGAAAGCAGCTGCGCAAGGTTCTTTCGACAGCTTTATTTTTCGAAGGCCTAAACCATCAACTTCAGCATTATAAGCAGCTTCAACAACAACTTCAGGTTCAGTAACAGTTTCAGCAACAGCTTTATGGAAAGCTACAGCTTCAGCCAGAGTTGAACCTGATGACTTCGTTATCTGAGTAAAAACTCGCACATCATTAGCTGTCCTTATGTTTTAGACTTTACCACTATTGGTGAGTAGAATTTTTGTTTTACATTCGTAAGTATTATTTAAAACATATATGAACAGTAAATAAGTGTTGCTTTCATATTCATATGTAGAGAAATTATATGTTTTCACATGTACGCACTTACTGTTCATACGTTGGCGTTCTCAATCATCTCACTTTATTTCTTTACCATTAGTGGTTAACTACTTCTAGTGTTCAATTTATTAACATTACTTAAAACATACATACAGGTATCAAATTTTTTTACATTAAGTTCACTACAGCTACAACCAGGGTCATATTTTCTTCAGTTTCTTATGTAGAACCATCGTCACTCACAAAACCATTGCCGTCTTGTCTCCTCGTGTGTGTTTTAATATTCTACGTATTATTAATGAATTGTATTGTTCATTTTACAAATATAAACATTAATTCAATCAAATACATATTCAGTAATAAACAATAATGAATCTTTTTTTACATATTCTGTAGATAAATGACTATGTTTCCTTGAGTGTGCACGTATACATTGGCGTTCCACTATCAGTGTCACTTTTTTTCTTTAATATCCGTGGTTACTTCTACTGTACATTAAATAACATTAATTAAAACATACATATTTTTTACATTAATTTTACTACAACAACCAGGGTCTTATTTTCTTCAGTTTCATGTGGATAGCTGACATTATGGGTGTAAACACTGACAACAATGCCGTCTCTTATCCTCTTGTGTGTATTGTTCATTTTGCATATATAAAGATTAATTCAATCAAATACATATTCAGTAATAAACAATAATGAATCTTTTGTACATATTCTTAAACGGATAAATGACGCGGTATCCTTAAATGCGCATGTATATGTTGGCATTCCCAATCCATCTACTTTTTTTTCTTTGCCATTAGTGATTAGCTACTTCTGTTGTTCCATTTATTAACAATAACATCACTTACAACATATATATTATATATTAATTTTTTTACATTAATTTTACTACAGCTACAACCAGGGTCTTATTTTTTTCATTTTCTCGTGTAGAACTATCGTTCCAGACTCCCGGCTGTAAACACAAAAAAAACAATGGCCTCCCATCTCCTCTTGTGTGACCATATTATTATTCATTTATATTGTATAAGGTGCATTCAGAAACATTATTTAAAGAATATAGATTGAAATTTTCATTAATTGTGTTGTTTGGGGGGAAAAGAGGGTAAAAAGCCACACAAAAGATAAGAAAAGGTCACACTGGGGAACACATCTCATTACCATTGCTTTATTTAAATGGTAATTAAAGATTCACGATACGATGATTCACCTTACACTGCAATATTGGAGGACACATTTCTGTCGTCATTCGAGGATTTACTGTATAGCTTTTGAGAAATACTGGGTATAGTCCTGGACATATTTGTAGCAAGATACCAGATTCACACCAACACATCTTGGCTGTGACCACCACCACAACAGCTGATGCTATGAACAGTGTTACCAACTCTGAAACTGAATTCCTACCAGAATTACCCGCTCCTATTTACAAATTTTGCTAGGTTCAGCCCTAAAAGTACAGAAGCTAGAACTGTACTGTACACTGTTACATCAAAACTTAAAATTGTAAACATATAAACAGTAACAATAAAAGCATATAAATAACAACAATGAAAGCACAAAAAAATTATACAAGTTTTGTGTACACATTACGTCCCAATCTCAGGAACACTAGCCGTCTGCTCGACAATCACCATAGTAACGTTGCTAAGGGAGAAAGAGAGGCAGCTGGTATGCTGTTAATTTCTAATGATATTATTATTGTATAGTGCAGTATAAATAAATTTTAATAAAGGCACTAAAATTAAAATATTTTTGTTACCGGTTTTGTGATGATTCACATTACGCAGATCTTATAAAAATGCTTTAATAATAAGATATTTAACTGCAAGAAATAAGATAAAATAATATATACAGTACGGTAAGGTCGGGTTATATTGCGACTTTTTACGAAGATTTTTTTTTATATAGCGACTGCCAAAATTATAAACATTTTCCAATATACAGTATAGCGATAAATTTATTTATTTTGCGAGGGAAATCGGGCAGGAAATATTTCAAATGTACCGCCATGGCAAACAAATGCGTTATTTGCTCACCAGAGGCGCCACTGTGGCTGCTCACCCATGCATTCACTCTCGCCCGCTCAGTCTTTCTGAGAGAGTGACGAGTAAACAGCCGACTCTGCTGCAGATTACGACTTCTAAGGTGACTGTAAATGGGTTGCTAGTGACGTGAAAAGTGAAGTGAAGATAATGGAAAGCTTAATGGAAATTATTTAATACTGTAACTAATATATTTGGTTTGTTCATTTATGTAGGTGTGGGATTGTCAAGTGAGGGTGGCAGTGGGGCGTCTGCTGCCGAGTCTGGTGTTCCCGGGATGGTGCGTCAGCTGCCGAGTCTGGTGTTCCCGGGATGGTGCGTCAGCTGCCGAGTCTGGTGTTCTCAGGATGGTGCGTCAGCTGCCGAGTCTGGTGTTCCCAGGATGGTGCATCACCTGCCGAGTCTGGTGTTCCTTGATATTCATATTGAAACAGCCTGTTGTTCCCGAGTCTAGTGTTCATTGGTGGTTTAGTAAGTAAGAAAATAAACTCGTTAAGTCAAATTTAGTCACTTTTATTGGCCTCCAGAACGTAACCCTATTTTCTCCATTGATTACATGTACAGTACTGTAATTACATATCGCGATTTAGTATATAGTGAACATCATTGGACCCTATCTCGTGATATATCCAGACCCTACTGTAACAGAAAATGTAAGTAATAAATAAAAATACAGTACTGTACTGTAATACCAATAATAAAAAAAAAAATACTGTTCTGTATTCCCATTTGACTGCTGGACAAAGAAATATTTGCCAATTGTGTCTTTGCACATAAGAGACAGCTCACACCAGCTGAGATCCCACACGCCGTCAACCTCTCCTTCCCCACTCAGTCTGCTAACTCTTGCACACAATGAAATGTTTATTCTCTTATGTTTCAGACCTTATGATAATTAATGTATTTCTTTTCTTGTCTTGCAAATTCTGTTTGTATACAGTGACCCCTCGGTTAACGAACTGCCTTCCATAAGGATTTTCAATTCGGTTAACGAACAAAAATTCGGTTAACGAATTTCTTACGAACCGACCTCAACATGTTTTCGCTTGCACTGACCGGGCAACCAGCTTTAGTATCAGTCCGCCAATACATTAATCGGTTCTAGGGCTTAAATTCCTTACTATTTTAGTAAATATCAAGAAGTTTATACTATTCAATAATTTTAAAAGTTTAATATTAACTTTTTTAGTCATTTTAACAATTATTGAACATAATTGAAGGTAAAGAAACTAGTTTCTGGTGTGCCATCCAGCTTGTTAACACACCAGACAGGCGTTAGTCTCTCTCTGTTTTCAGTGGAGATAACATCTTGCTTGAGACTCTCTTCAACTAAACGCTTTTTTCTGTGTTTCCAAGCAAATTATTGGTCATTTTGAAATATATTTTACATATTGACAATATATAATGCAGTGCAGTGTTGATTTAAAGAAAATAATCTTGAAATACACCAAGAGAACTAAAATTTTATGGATGAAATGGTGCCATGGGGTGACTTCTCTTCCACCCCAATGCCTTTTCTTCTTCCTTCTCCTCCACCCCCATTCTAATTCCCATCATCATCATCCAGGAGCCTTCTACATACACACCTCAAAGTAAGTGAACTTTTCTACCATTTTTGTTGAATTTAGGAAATTTTCGGTGAGCTGGAACCAATTACCCAAAAACCCATTGAAACAATGGTTTCGGTTAACGAACTTTTCAGTTAACGAATGACCTTCTGGAACGGATTGAGTTCGTTAACCGAGGGGGTCACTGTACTTGTGTATGCATGTAACAGAGTAAAAAAGAAAAAAGAAAAGTATATCTACCCGAATTATGAGTTAAAAAACACCCATAACTTAACTCAGTTCAGCCTGGTAGCAAGAGGGATAGGGAGATGTGGCTACAGTGAT